CACACACACACACACACACACACACACACACACACACACACACACATATGCACCTGTCACCCATACCCACATGCTGACGCATGCAAGTGCCCATGTGCTCATGCACACGCGCCACACGCCCTCCTCACCTATGCAGGGCGAGCGTCCCCCTCACGTCCCGCAGGTACCGCAGCACCAGGTTGTCACCCTCCAGGGCCACCGCCGACTGCAGCAGGTCCTTGGGGTGCTGCGGCACCACGTCGGGCCAGGAGGAGGGGGGGCCGGGGGCCGGCAGCTGCGCCTTGACCACCCTGCAGAGTAAGGAAGTGCATGCAAGATCGGAATGTAGCACAATTCAATTCCGCCGCCTCTTTTGCCTCCTCATGGCTTTACCAGGCAACTGAGTCAAATGGTTCAGCTGAAACAGGGGACGGCTCAACCAAGCGGATTGCAGGGCTAAAGCCCACATGCAAAAATAACAGCTGTGACATTCGCAACTAACTGCGAGGCTTGGTCATGCATGGGTTACAGCTGGGGGCGCCGGTATGGGAACAATTGAGTCACCTGTACCGCGGCGCCTCCAGGTTGGTTTTGAAGTAGAAAGTGTCACCCTCATTGGCCACCTGGTGTGGGCGTTGGGGCAAAGCCGCAAACAAGGTACAAATGGGCTCGGCAATGGGTGAATTGGGTCAGCATCAGGTCCTTGGGGTTTTGAGCCATGGCCGTGTGCCATAGCCCGAGTGTGGAAGAACACCGCAGAGCATCCGCACAAGGTCAATGCCAATGCCAGCTGGGCTCACGTAATCATAAGAGGCGTCAAAATCGTCCACCAGCTTCGACACGGGCAGCTTCTCGCCGCTGCCAAAGAAGTCAAACCTCGAAAAGTCGAGGGCGCCCGTGGTGGCGTCCTTAGGAATAACCGACAGGTCCAGGTGGAACAGCCTTGGATTCGATGAAATTTGGTTTGTTTAGGGGGGGGTGTCAATTGGCGGACGTTTGTGGGAGGTTTGGCGTGGTTGTGGCAGTGGCAACTGTGCCAAATCCGAGCGGGCTGCTGGCCTGCTGTCCAGCAGGGCCCCGATGCAGACGTGAGGCATGAGGGGTGCAGTGGTGGGAGGGACGTGCAAGGGTGGGAGGGACGTGCCGTCGTCGGCTCGGCGGCGGCGGCCGGCGCGGATGGCCATGACGCATTCAGTGCCCCCGAGCGAGGGGCACGGGCAGGGCCTGGGGCGAGGCGCGCGGCAGGGGCGCACCTGTTCTTCGGCTGGCAGCCCTCGGACACATAGAGCAGCAGGTGCCTGTGGCGTGAATTGATGGGTCACGAGCATGCGAGGCCTCACGGCTTGAAGGTACGCTGGTGCCCCTTTGAACCCAGCCGGCAACCCCCGTGGATGAGCGGTCCCCGCAGCCGCAGGCTCGCGCTCACACGTGCAGGACGCCTACCCAGCACGGGCCCCGGCCCCGAGCCAGCACCCAATGTAGTGCCTGACCGAACTTGCGCCGTGCACCATGCTTCGCCTTCAGACCGTCAGTAAAACTCACTTGCCGTCGTCGGAGACCTCCGCACTGCTCATCCAGGTGGGGTGCTCTGGGATGGCCCACACCACGACGTCCTGCGACTGGGGCGTGCCCAGGACGTGGTAGCAGAGCTGCTGGTCCGTGGCGCTCTCGGTCTCGGTGCCCAGGTCTGCGGACTTCTCGGGCTCGCGGTAGCTGGGGTTGGGGTGAGGTGGGGTGGAGTGGAGTGTGGTGGGGTGAGGCGGGGGCACGATATGGGTTATTGCGTCAAAGCACATGTGCGCTGAAGTTGCTGCGCCAATGGTCTGGTTGGCAGCAAAGTGGCATGGGCGTTGGTTGCGACGTCATGCGTACGCAAGCACCTGCTAAACAAGCAATCAGCCCACGGGCGGTGCAGAAATTTGTTGTCCAAGACAAGCGCGTAGGGGATTCGAGCGGGGATTTCAAGCCTTCCCCCCTCAGGCCCACCGGTTGTAGAAGAACCCGAGGTTGTCGTGCGTCCAGGCCAGGCAGCTGCGAGCGTGTTGACGCGCGGTCGAGAGAAACGCCATGGATTTAGAAATCGCCACGAGCAGTCCCCATGGAGCTTCAAGCCCTGCATACTTCCCTCAAACCAGCAAGGCACCGATTGAGGAACTTATGCAACAGTTATAAGCTTATTGCAGGGCACGGGGGTCAGGTTACTGCATGCAGATGGCGTCTCTTTTGTCCAGCTGGGCAGCACCCTCAGTGGCCCCACCTGAACTTGACAAACTCCAGGGTGTCCTCCAGCTCCTCGCCTGTGCCGTCCTCCTTTATGCGCAGCACCTTGATGCGCGCCCAGTCGCTGCCGCCGCTGCTCAGCTGGGAGCACGAGGGGCACAGGCGTGGGGCGAGGTGAGGGCAGGGCAGGGCGAGGTGAGGGCAGGGTGGGGTGGGGTGGGGTGGGGCGGGATGGGAAGCATGATGGGGTCTCAAGGGGTCTGCTTTGGCGTATGCAGGCGCCTGGCAGCACAACTACTGGTCAAACAGGTGGGTTGCTTGGCTACCAAAACCAGCTGCGGCACAACTGACGCAGTGCGACGGTGACGAAGGAGTGATGTCATCCTTGCCGGCGGCCAACCTGGTAAGCCAGCAGCGAGCCGTCGTCGCTGAATGATGCGTCCCTGAGGGCCACGGTGCCGTCCTCTGACAGCGTGTTGGGGTCGAGCAGCACCCACGGCTCGGCCTCGAGGGAGGCCTGGGTGTAGAGCACAAACTGCTGCTGCAGGCCGCTGGCGGGGAAAAAGGGCGGGATGGTGGACAGGGTTTCAGCGGATAGGAGAGTGTTGACGGCTCAGCTTGGCCGGCGCACTTGGTTTTGGCTGATTGGAAGCACAAAACCTGCAGGACTATGTAGATGCGCTGCGGAGCGGGGCAGCTAGACGCGGGCACGTGGCACCTAAGTCAACACCTTGCATGATCCCACCACCACCCCACCTGTTGAAATAGTAGTAATAGCGGGACCCCTGCGGAAAAATGGATGAAGGCAGCAAGGCGGGCGCTGGTGATTGGTGAATGACGGGGGTGACGCGCCAGGCGCTAAGCCAGGGCTTGCAAGTGGGACTGTGCCGGCTTGAAGGTGCATACTGTAGGTGCTAAGAGCGGGTGGGCGGAGTAGCTGCGAGCGCGGTTCACTGCTCCGCAATCCCCACCTTCTTGAAGGGGGTGCCATACTTGGGGTAGCTGAGGGTGGACAGAGGCAGAGGCAGGGTCAGGGCGGGGTGGAGGTTGGTAGAGGCACGAGAGTGAGTGCGCGGTTTTATTATTGATCATACAGTCATATTGCACTTTAGCTACCTTTACTGCTCGACCCAGGAGGAAAATCCCAGCCATCGCTGTCAACAATGCTGTGTACAGCCGCCGCATGCCGCAAGGACCTGTGCACGCTGGCCCCGCTGCCGCCCCTCCTGCCATCCTGCCTCCACTGCAAACACCCCTGCATCATGATTGCGGCCGGGTTGCGTCCCCCTGCGTCCTTGCGTCACACGTCCCTCAGCCCACACCGCTTCGCATCCCAATACATAACCACCCCCCCCCCAATACATAATCCCTCGTAAAAGCCTACTTGTACAGGTCAGTGAAGAGGGCCTTGAACTGCTCCCGCGTGTCACACTGGGCCAGAACCGAGTTGGTCAGCTCGTTCTGGGCCTCAACAACTGGTGATGGTGAGGGGAATCAAGAGCAGGAGTTGAGACAGGGTGCCAGGCGGCAGGCAGCTGTGAAGGTGGCTTGTGGCTGAGCGCAGGGGTTGGTGGTTCAACAGGGCCAGCCGCCTCGCAGGCAAGGGGGTGGCTGACGTGCCACCGGGTGAACCCGGGGCCCATAGGTCTGGTATGGGTGCGCAAGCATCCTGCAGCTTGCGAAGATGCTTCCGCGGCCTGTTGGTCACTGCAGTCATGAACTGCCCATTTGAGCCCCATGCCAAACCCACATTTCTGAGTCTCCTCGGAGTCTGGGTCTTCCAGCCAGCGGTACGAGTCCGCAATCTTCACACCGTGAAGCTCCTCCACCACTGACTCGTCCCGCCGCACCTGTGCGGGCGCGGGCGCGTGCGTGTGCGCGTGCGCAGGTGGGGCACAGGCTCAGCAGCACTGCTTGAATGCACAGCGGCGCAGGCCCATGCGTCATGCGCGCAAGGGGTGCTGCCACGGCTCTCATGCGCCCTGAAGTTGGACTTCAATCGTAGCTACTGCAGATTTCAATCCATTCAGGGAACACTGTCGGGCGCATGCTGTTTCTGCTGCCACCATGGATCTGCCAGGCAGGTGCGGGGGCTGCTGTGCGCACCGTGGGGTAGCGAGACGGGTCAACTGACAGCTGCGACTGCGGCGCGCCCACAATAGCTGCGAGGTAACGAGTGTGATCGATTGGCATGGGCCAGCAGGCGGAGGGTCGAGACGTGCTCGATCAGGTATGGCTCCATGTGTGGGCATTGCGGCGCCAAGCGCGCAGCGCGCCACTCACATGCGGTTGATGGCGCCATGATCCTGCCTACTGCAGATCTAGCTTGCACAGAAGTGGTGATCGAGCGCCGGGTGGTTGCGATTGTGCAAGCACTCGCTCGCAGGACGGCCAGAGACAACCTCATGCACTCCTTCGGATGCTCAGCCCTTGAGCGCTGTGAAACATGTGGTCACACGTTTGTGTTTTTCAAGGAAGTGTCGTGTGCAGGTCGATCATGCCTTGCTTTTACGGGTCACCTGGGTGACACTCGAACGATCACGGTAATATCAGGGTGCTATGATATGCACCTGGGACACTGCAAATTTTCGGCGAAGGTGACCTTGATACAATGGCTCCCAAGAGGATTCTCCATCCCAACAGCGTGTGGGACCGCCAGGCACTTTTGGAAGCCTTCAGGGAGCATGGCATAAAAGCGGAGGAGCACGTGAAGCGCGTATACAGGTCCGCCTGCAGGCGCACAGCAGGGCCGTCGACGACGGCGGCTGCTGCTCCCGCTGCCTGCTGCTGCGCATGCAGCTGCTGCATGTCACGCATGCATCACCCGCGATACGAGCAAGCGCATGTCACCCTCTGATGCTATCACAAGACTGTGTTCCGCTCCCATGCGCCCCTCTGCAACGCACAACCTCTGGCCGCCCCTGGCCTTCTTGGCTGTTCCTCACCGGTCGTTTCCCACAGTGCGCTTCTGCGAGACCCTGACATCCCCTGGTCAGCTATTACGGACCTTCCAAAGGCAGCGGCAGCCCTGCTGGACGCGCGCTTTGCGCGTTTGACCAGCACGGTGCTGCGCGTGCAGCGGAGCGCGTGTGGGGACACGGTCAAGCTGCTGCTCGCGCTGCAGGATGGAATGCAGGTGGGGTCTGGATTGCGCGATGCTTTTATTCTGCGGTCGTGTGCGATAAATGTGTGTGGACATGCCCATTCAAGATTAGCGTGTGTGTTTCAGCTGTGATGTTTTGTACATGTGTTGGTGGGTGAGCAGACAACCGCCACTTTTGCTAGGACCTGCTACCACGCTTGCCGCTGACCTGTGGCACGTGTGGTGTTTGATGCGGTGATGCAGGTTGAGGCAGTGGTCATGAGCTATGACACATCAGAGCGCTATGCGGAACGGCGGGAACCGGAAAGCGGCGGCGCTGAAAGCAGCGGGCAGCAGCAGCAGCAGCAGCAGCAGCAGCAGCAGCAGCGGCGGAAAGAAGCATGTGCAGCTTCGCCGGATGGAGGCACACGACCAGCCTCCAGGGTGCAAGAGACAGCAGAGGCGAGTGTGAGTGGGCGGGGCTATGGTACCAGCGGCGGCCCGCCAAGCAGCAGCGGTGGCGGCGGAGGAGGCGGCTGGGGCAACAAGCGCGGCACGCTGTGCGTGTCGTCGCAGGTCGGGTGCCAGATGGGCTGCACCTTTTGCGCCACAGGTAGGTGGACCTGGCTGGCATAACATGCCTTGCTGGCTCACATCATGCATGCAGGGGCCTGTTGTGGTGCAAATAGGCAGGCAAACATGCAGGCAGGCCTGCAACAAGCACCAACAGCAGCGGCTGGGACGGCCATACTTGTAGGTGAGAGACACACATGCCATGCGGCGATGCGCACCTGCTGGTCATCCCACGCTCAGCTGCGCACATGCCACCTACAACCTCGCAGGCACCATGGGCTTGAAGGGCAACCTGACTGCCGGGGAGATTGTTGAGCAGCTAGTGCACGCGTTGAGGGTGGCAGCCGTCAGGAACGTTGTGTTCATGGTGGGCACGCCTTCATGGGCGCGGGACCTGAGGGGGCAGAATGGGCGAGGCAGAGACGCGACGCTTCCACAACGCCAGCGTCGCCACAGGGGCGCCTGCCGCGCTTGGGGGACGTTGCCAGCTGCTAGTGGCGGCTGGCAAAGCGGGCACATGCACGCGGGTGACGCCAGCAGCATGCCGGCTGAGCCTCTTCCGGGCTGTCATGCCCTGAGTTGTGCGCGGCTGCTGGCATCGCCGCTCTTTCGCCAGATCACTGAGTGTTCACTTCACAACACTGAGTGGTCCAGCGCGCCGCCTCCTCCCGTCCTCGTCATCCCAGGGCATGGGGGAGCCCCTCAGCAACTACGAGGCGGTGGTGGGCGCAGTGCAAATGATGACGGACCCGCGGTTGTTCGGCCTCAGCCGGCGCCACGTGACCGTTTCTACGGTTGGTGTGGTGCCGCGCATACGCGAGATGGCCAAAGACCTGCCGGTGAGAGCAAGGGCGGGCAAATCCAGCACTTTTGCAACAAGCCTGTCTGGCTGTTTGCGTGCAGTGGGATGCTTTCAAGTCGGCAAAGCATTGAAAACAGCAGGCGTGAGGAAGGGCTTGCGGCCGTGGCAGGTCGGCTGCACATGTGAAGCTACAGCTTATGTAGTGGCCGTTCCCCTGAAGTGATGCCACTAGCTGGTCACCTCTCACACCCTCTTACCACCTGTGGCCCCCTCAGGGGGTGAGCCTGGCGCTGTCGCTGCACGCGCCCGATCAAGAGCTGCGGCGCACGATCGTGCCGAGCGCGCGGGCATACCCCCTGGAGCGCCTGATGGCGGCGGTGGGCGACTACCAGGCAGCTTCAGGGCAGCGCGTGTTTGTGGAGTACGTCATGCTGGCGGGTGGGTGGCAAGTGTGAGTGTGTCGGCGCATGCAAGCTTGCGTCTTGTTGAGTCGTCAAAAACCCTGAATTGGTGTTCGGCACGGGGGTGGGGAACTCCCCAGAAGCTGCATGCTTACAACCCATGCCTTCCAAAATTGCGCACGGCTCACCGGGACTGGGTCCCGCTCACCCTTACCCTCATGCCGAGCAATTGCCTCCCTTACGTTTCTGCCCTCACCCTGATGTCATCAACCCTGAATTGCACCACCAAAACAACGACAGGCGTCAACGACTCGGAGAACTGCGCCCACCAGCTGGGCCGCCTCCTGGCCGGCAGGGACATGCACATAAATCTGATCCCGTGGAACCCTGTTTTGGCTGGCGACGGCATCATCTTCTCTGCGCCTGCACCTGGGTCCGTCGACGCGTTCCGGTCTGCAGTCAGGGCGTACGGACTGAGCGTGACTGTTCGGCAGGAGAAGGGGCAGGACATCTCGGGCGCGTGCGGGCAGCTGGTGATAGACACCTCGCAGCTGGCCGCACAGGGGCGGGCGCTGCAGGGGTTGCCGGGGCGCGCGAGGAGTTGCGGGGGCGCAAACGGGAGCGACGGCGGGGTGAAGGATATTGAGGAGTTGGCGGCTGCCGTTGAATAATCTGTCCTGTGCTGCTTTGATTCTGCTTTGCTCGTGCATCCCAGCCATGTCCAATCAATTCATTTTGTCAAATACGGTCACCCCGGTGGCTCCCACCTTGCCAATGCTGGCATTTGGGCACATTGCATAGCTGCTTCTTGCGCAGCTGTTACACACCTCTATGCACGAATACATGAAACCCACTGTGGTAAAACTTGTCAAAATGCTACAAAGCACTGCCTACCAATCAGACATAGACGTCATCAATTGACATCTTGATCAGAAATAACA